ATGAGAAAAATACATATCAGTTTCAATTTCTAAAATAATTAAAATTTTAATATTAAATTATATCATTTTATTTAATTAAATTTCAATTGAAAATTTAAAAATCTATTTTTATTAAATATTGATATTTATATTTGAAAACTAATTATATTATAATATATGATCAACTTCTAAATTTAAATATCAATATTTAATAGGGTGGATTTCTGAATTTTACATTAAGATTTTTGTTATCAAATGTAGGTTAGGACTCTAATTTTTTTTAAAAGTCAAAATTAATACATATTAATTTCTTAATAATATATATGAGAGATTATGGATGAAGGAAAATATGGAAAAATTAAAAATAAACTACCAACAAATTAAAATAAATAGTACCTCTAATTTCAAGCAACAATTTAGAGGAAGACGAAATGGAAATGTAGTGAACATGAGAAAGGAAAGAAGGAAAGTAGAAGAAAAATGAAGAGAAGATGGAAAAGCAAAAGGAAGAGGAAATGGAGAGAAGAGGAAAAGGAAGATTAAGATTAGACAGTGAAGCATATGAGTGGAGTGAAGGAAGAGAAAGGAAAAAATGAAGGTGAATTTGGATCAAGGATGAGAAATGAAACAGAAGAAAGAAGAAAATGAGAGAAAATGGTGAAGATATTGAAAGTTAGATGTTTATATAGATAAATATTATTTTTCACCACTTAGCACTAGATTCAAAAGATTATATATAAATATTTGCAGCAAAAACCAATATTTAGCCCCTCACCTTACAATTAAAATTGGTAGGTTTTAGCCCCTCACTTTATAACATTACAGCTTTAGCCCTTTATCTTACAAAGTTAATAAGTTTTAGCCCCTCACCTTACAAAATTGGTAGGTTTTAACCCTTTATCTTATATTATAATATTTTTAGCCCCTCACCAATACAAATTAAAGAAAATAACCATCACCTAACATTAGGTTATAACGTTCTGGTAGTTCTATTAGTGGACTGTTAATATCCGTTAGCATTTCATTATAAAAAAACATAAAATTTAAATTCAATTTTATTTGTTAGTTCAATTAACGAAATGCTAATAGATGCTAACAATCAACTAACAGAACTACCAGTCAGCTAACAAAACTAATAAAACATTATAACATGATATTAAATAAGGGCTATTTTTTTCAATTCGTACAAATAAGGGACTAAAAGTGTCATAATATAAGGTGATGGGTTAAAACCTACCAACTTTGTAAGGTGAGGGGTTAAAACCTACCAACTTTATAAGGTGAGGGGTTAAAACCTACCAACTTTGTAAGGTAAGGGGTTAAAAGTGTCATATTATAAGGTTTAGGGCTAAAACCTACTAATTTTGTAAGGTGAAGGACTAAATGTTGGTTTTAGCCAATATTTGCTAGTAGCATTGTTTGCTTACAGAGTTCCTAGGCAATTGTCAGGATTTGTTTGAGCCACTAGTATATCAAACATGTAATTTGGTGATGATTTCATACCTTGACAAACACAAGTTAACCTTGTGAATTATATTTCCTTGCAATTCTTATTTAACTCTTAAATTTATCAAAATGTTTTAGTTAAATAAAATAATTATATTAACCAAAATAATTTCATAATAAATTAGTATTTCCATCTAATCATACAAGTAAAAGCTATAATGAAACGTAGGTGTGCAAATGATGGTAAAGGATTTTCATTGATATACATCAAAGGGAAATTTGATTTGTTTTGGGTACAAGACATTTGATGCAACAATTAAGAAAAAGTAGTATTTTAGACATACAAATTTGTTTCAATACTCATTTTCTTTTCTTTTGTGACTCCTCAAGCTCAGTGCTCTACACATAGTATAAAATCTCCCTTTCATGCCAAAGTTGACAAATCAAATCCATCCTTTTCCCATGAACTATCTTTCAAAACTCAAAAAGAGATCAATTGTGAACCATTTAGCCTACTTGCTAATTTGTCAAGTTCTTCACCCATAACAACAAAGAGCTCTATAAAACTCAAGTTTACAAAACATCCATTTGGCAAGCAGATGTTCAACAATGAAACACAAAAATAAACACAAAAGCATATGTTATGAAACATGTAGGAAATTGAAGTAAAGTTCTAATTAGTTAAGCTTCAAGAGACTTGGACAGAACTTGAGAAACCTCTATAACATCTAACATCTAGAAAGTTATAACTCAATAAAGTTAAAGCTTTACACTTTAGAAATTCCTTGAAAGTATGACAAAGTAAAAGACCTCTGTTGATGCTATGTGATATCTCTATCCTCATTTGTAATTATTTTAAAAAAAAATAGGTCCTTATTCGCATTGAGTCTAAAGTTAGAGTCCTTCATCTCATTTAGAATTAGGGACTAATCTATAATAATTGTTATTTATGGGATTGCATGTTATTTTAATAAATTGCAAACCAAGTGTCTATCTTAAGGAGAGCTTAGTGCAGTCCAACTGTCTATAACCTGTTAAAATAAATGATAGGTGGTTAGATGAGAAATGAGTCAAGTGGGGAGCATTTAAAACCCACTTCATCAAAGGTTTTTGAGCTATATAACTAAATGAGTCATGTTTTGGATTTTTGCCTCTAGTTAGACCAAAAGAGAAGGAAAAAGAAGGTGCAAAAAAGCTAGCAGACTTGGAGATTCTTGAAGAAACTCTATCAAGCCTAGAATTTTGAATTAGTGTGTGGGATGAGTGTGATTCTTAACTTTAAACTTAGGTTGTCAAATACAAAAAAAGAAAAAGAAAAGAAATAAATATAAGATAAATAAAGTATACAAAGGAATTATTATATTGTAGTTTATGCTATACAATATAGAGGCTACAATAAGTAAAGAAAGTATGATTGAATTAGAATAATCTGCATTGAAGCTAATTTCTTGGTGAAATTAATTGTGGGGATGGTAAGAATGAGATTTAAACTATACTATTAAGGTCTAGAATTGAGATTTACTACATTTTAAAGAGTTAAATTCTAAAATTTTCATGTTATGCTTGTTTTCTTTAAGGTTATACAGACTACATTGATTGTTGAACATATATTGCATGAATCTATATGGTATATGTTTTTGTGGTATAATTATCTTAGAACTATGGAGATTTTGGACCCCCAACTTAGGCTTAGGGGTTAGAATAGTGAACTAGTGGATCTCTGTGCAATAGGTAAGTGTTATGATTAACTCTGGCACCAAATGTGAGTGCATGCAAATTTCAGTGGACTCCATAATTAGTGTCAAATCTATTTAATGTATTGTATTGTGTGATTGTTCTATGGCTAATTATCTAAATTATTAGTATGACTAGTACTATTAGAAACTAATGCTACTTTTCTACATAGCATAATGAACTAAGTAAAGATTATTGGCTTAACTTATAGTTAAGAATTATGCTTATTGGGCTATGAGCTCCTGGAATTTATTCCACCATATCATATAGTAGCAATGACGAGTAGCTGTTGTTTCCTAAAACTTTTGGTGGATGTTCCATGCTTATAGTGAGTGGTGCATCCAAGTAGTTAGTAAGACAAGTTTGTATCTACCCAAACTATGGTTAGCTCTGTAATTTTCAATCTATTTTGCATTGATTTTGAACCTAGGAATGATATATAAAATGAGCCTTTGATCCTATAGATATATATATATATATATATATTTATCTTGTATAGGACATTTCTCTACTTGATAAACTAAAAAGTTTATCAAAAGGGAGATGTTATATGTTAGAAGAAACGATAGTAAGTCTTTCTCATTATTCAAGGTCACAAGCTTCAAGCAAACCTCTACACAATAAGCAAAATTCTCTTTTTTTAGGGTTTTTCTAGTTATGTTAAAGGTGTATTTATTGGACCTTTTTACCATTAATTGTCAATCATAAAAGTCTTATCTAAAGTTACATGCAAGTTATATGTAGAGACAAATAATTTGAGATGGAGGGAGTATCATTTGCACCAAGGCCGTGTACAATAGCAACTCCTTTTGATGTTCTCTTCAAAAAGAGAATAAAACAACAATTTGTAGTGCATTTGCTAAATGAGGGCCTAGTTCTCTATTTTGATATTTTTTTTCCTTAAAAGGGGTAAAAATTTTGAAAAACTTTGTATTGTCTGACATTATATCAAGTAATGCAAACCTTAAATGCAATTATTATATATAGCAATCCAACAGCTAGCATTTCTATTTCTAAAATACTATTTTCCTTTCAAATTTTTTAGTTAAAATATTTAAATTTGAGTTGAATAATATTGGTATGACTTTTGAAAAAGTTATGTTGAAATATATGCATTGGAGATGAGTTGTTTGATTAGGAGTTCTATTTAAGGTTTACACATATAAAAATATGGGTTTATATAAAATAATATTAATTGTAATGATATAGTATCAAAGTCAGTTTTTTCATTGTTCCCATTGTATATGCTCTAAAACAACTTGAAGGCAGAATATATTTGAAATTAAATGGGTCCTGAACATCCTTAACATAATTTGAGGCAATAAATTGTTTAAATAATTTGACAAATTACTATAAAAACAAAACCTTGGCAAATTACACCATATCTATGTAAAAAATTGGCTTAAGGTAGTTGAATATAATTTCTGAAAATTTTAAAATGTGCACATAAATGATCTTAGAAGATTTATTTGCACATTTCACACTTGCCCTAATCCACATATGGTAATGTGTAATTTCCTCAAATAACTTCTTCCATTTGATATTTTGTTTTTAATAAGAGGCGACAAAATCCTCAATAGATTTTTGGTCCTCAAGCTCTAACATTTTGGCAAAAACTCCAACCAACGGTGCTGTATTGTATGTGCAGGCCTCGGTCTGCATGTAATTTCCTCTATGGTCACTAAAATTGTCCTCATAATTGGGCCCTCCAACCAATGCACCAACTAGAACATTAGGGTTAGGTTCCAGTCGTCCATACCAGTTATCATACCCTTGAGTGCACCCAATGAACCCCTTATTATCTTTGTAGGACACAATGGATGCCCCCCTATGGTGCACCCTAGTGGGGTATTTAGCCCCATATCCCACTAAGTAACTGATGTTCATGGGATTAGACCCTAATATGTAATCCACTTGAGATTTTGCAAAATTAAAGATCTCTTCATGATCAGATGCTCCAGCTGGACAATGAAGACTCTGATTTGACTCTTTAAGATAATCGGAGTATATTGTTAAAAGGAAGGCCGCTGTGGATACGTACTGCATGTTATTCCATTGTCTGACGTATAAAAGACCTCCCGGGGTACGTTCTACATTGTTGCTACTGCCATTATTTTTGTTAAGACACGAGCATACATAGTGCTCAGCTTTTGATTGGTACCGCTCTAGCATAAGATGATGCCTTTGGTGATTATCTTCCACCAATAACTGTAAAAAAAATAAAAATAAAAATCACCTTTCCAATCTATAAATATTTTAGGGTAAACTAAAAAAAGAGAAAATAATGCGGCAGTGCAGTCTATGTCATATAAATTATATTACTTATAATTATTGTTTGAGAAATGAATAAAGAATAAGAAAGGATTATTTTTAATTATACAACTCAAAATAAAAAAAAAATATATATATATATATATATATTAATGGAGGAATGGGCTTTTAAGATTAAGGAGTTCACCTCTTCCATCAATAATTAAATAAAGTACAATATATATAATTTATTTTTCAATTCATTTTTCTATAAAGAGAATACAATTATTTAGGTCAATAAAACTAAAGAGCCAAATGATCTATATATGTGGGTCTAGGAATATTAAACTTGGTGTCTACCTCTAGACATGATCCATTGCCTTGGGTTGATTGTGGGACCCAAGATTCACATATCAGGTCCTACTAAAATTCCGGACAAAACCAATTAGATTGAATAAAAACTTTTTCTTTCGTGATAAAAAGTGATAATTAATGCCAGTGTTACAAATGATATGATATATAATTGTATATGAGAATGATGCATACTAGTTTTAATTTTATTAAAAAATTAAAATTAAAATTTTAAAAACTTTATGTTTTAATTAATATTTTTAAAATCCATTCTTATTTTTAATGTTTTATTAACATAGATTATGAATTTTAATTTTTAAGTTAATCTAATATTGATAATTATTCAATTAAAATTTTTTTATTTTTTAACATATATTTAAAGATGTTAAATTTTGTATAATGAATGAATTAAGTATTTATATTCAATTAATTTAAAAATCAATTAATTTAAAAATTGACATACATTATCTATATAAATAAAATACTAAATCTAATTATTTATTTTTCAAAATATTTATTTAAAAATAAGGTTTTTGGAATTAAAATTTTAATTTTTTTGATAAGAGTTCAGGCTAATATATATTATTTTGATTGTATACTGATTCAATTATATAATTTGGGGTTAGCATAGTAAAGATTGTCCTCCTAAAATTTTTTTAGAAGACCTATTTAAAAAACCTACACTTTAATTAATATATTAATTAAAAAACTAATTATTAAATTGAAAATTCTATTTACGTAAATCATGTATATTAATTTTTATATTAATCTAA